TGTTCCCTGCAGAAGTTGGGCTCACCCCAGGGTTCTTTCTGAGGGTATGTCTACACTGGCAGAGTTACAGCACCGGCAGTTACAGTGCTGCTCAGAAAGCGCTGAAGGGAAATTGCTGATGTGTGTTCACACTGTCAGCTGCCTGCGCAATAGCGTGTTCACACTTGTGCCACTTGCAGCAGTATTCAGAGCGGTGCGCTCTAATCTCACAGAACATCTCTTTCTCTTCTGCCACTAAGAGTTGTGCGAAGGAGGAGGAGGTCGCGGGGAATCCTGGGTCCTGTCCCAATGCCCTGTGATGCATTGCTTCGCATAGTTCTCAGTGGTACCAGATGACAGAACAAGGAGTAATGGTCTCAAGTTGCAGTGGGGGAGGTTTAGGTTGGATATTAGGAATAACTTTTTCACTAGGAGGGTGGTGAAGCACTGTAATGGGTTACCTAGGGAGGTTGTGGACTCTCCTTCCTTAGAGACTTTTAAGGTCAGGCTTGACAAAGCCCTGGGTGGGATGATTTAGTTGGGAATTGGTCCTGCTTTGAGCAGGGGGTTGGACTAGATGACCTCCTGAGGTCCTTTCCAACCCTGATATTCTATGATCCCAGCAATCCCTGTGCTTCCATCTGCATTTGGCACCATCTTTCAATGGTTTGTGTACAACACGCTCTGCCTCTTTGGGCTGCAGGAATGGATCCCGAACTGTTGACCAATATGCTGTTTGCTCTGACTAACACGTGACGAGTAGCAGTGGAGTTAGTCCTTAAACTACAAAGGCAAGAGGAATGAGACATTGAGCTTGCCACACGTAGTAGCTACGACATGAGATTGCTTGTGGCATTCACAATGGAATGCTGCTTTTGGTCTCAGGAAACAAGCACTCATATGGGATCATATCGTCATGCACGTCTGGGATGACAAGCAGTGGCTGCAGAACTTTCAGATGAGGAAAGCCACATTCATGGGCAGGGGCGGCTCTATGTATTTTGCCGCCCCAAGCACGGCAGTCAGGCAGCGTCTGGCGGCGTGCCTGTGGGAGGTCTGCCGGTCCCACGCCTTCAGCGTACCCACCGCCAAATTGCCGCCAAAACTGCGGGACCAGTGGACCTCCCACATGCATGCCGCCGAAGGCAGCCTGACTGCCGCCCTCATGGCTACCGGCAGGCCGCCCCCTGCAGCTTGCCACCCCAGGCACCCGCTTGGTGCGCGGGTGCCTGGAGCCGCCCCTGTTCATGGGACTGTGTGATGAGCTCACCCCAGCCCTGCGGCACAAGGACACGAGAATGAGAGCTGCCCTGTCGTTGGAGAAGCGCATGGTGATTGCACTGTGGAAGCTGGCTACTCCAGACTCTACTGATCAGTCACTGACCAGTTTGGAGTGGGAAAGTCGACCGTTGGACTCGTATTGACGGAAGTGTGCAGGGCCATTAATCGCATCCTGCTCTGAAAGATCGTGACTCTGGGCAACGTGTGTGACATTGTGGATGGCTTTGCACAAATGGGCTCCCCTAACTGTGGAGGGGTGATAGATGGCACACATATTCCAATTCTGGCACGAGACCACCTAGCCACCGAGTATATTAATTGGAAGGGGTGTTTCTCAATGGTTCTCCAGGCGCTTGTGGATCACCGTGGGCATTTCACGGACATTAACGCAGGCTGGTCCAGAAAGGTGCATGACGCACGCATCTTTCGGAGCACCGGCCTGTTCAGGAAGCTCCAAGCAGTGACTTTCTTCCCGGACCAGAAGATCACCATAGGGAAGTCAAAATGCCTATTGTGATCCTGGGAGACCCGCCTACCCCTTAATGCCATGGCTTATGAAGCCATTCATGGGGCACCTTGAGAGCTGCAAGGAGCAGTTGAACAATAGGCTGAGCAAGTGCAGAAAGGCCGTTGAGTGTGCTTTTGGCCATTTAAAGGCCTGCTGGCACTGCCTATATGGGAGGCTGGACTTGGCCGATGACAATATTCCTATGCTTATAGCCGCGTGCTGTACGCTCCATAATAGTTGTAAAGGGAAGGGTGAAAGCTTCACTCACAGTTGGACCGCTGAGGCTCAGCGACTAGAAGCTGAGTTTGAACAGCCAGAGACCAGGGCTATTAGAGTTACACAGCTTGGGGTCATAAGGATCAGGGGATGCCTTGAGGCAGCAATTTGAAGCTGAAAGCCACTAAAATTTGTTGTTATGCTCGGGAGTGCAGTGCTTGTAATGCTAGGAGGTGATTGTGATTAGTGCAGACAATGCACTATGAAGGTGTAAGAAAATTGCCTGTTGCTTTGTAGGGCTTTGTTTGCTTTCAATTAATGGAATAAAGATTGCTTTCAAACCAACACAATCCTTTTATTAAAAAACAACAACCGGAGGAGAGAGTGAAATGAAAAAAAGTGCATCAGCACTGTGGGGGATGGGGGAAGAGAGGGTTCCAGGAGAAAGTGCGGTCCCAGGACTGATAAAGATTTGTGTATGTCCAGGTATCATATCCAACCATCTTCTTTGGAGTACAGTGCAGCGGGTACTGTACTTCAGCAGGGCTAAACCTCAGAGGGATGGGTGTTAAGTGCAGTGGGTACTGGGAGTCCACAGGGCTGGACTGTGAGGAGGGAGACGTGGAATGCTGTGGGTATGGACTGGAGCCAGGAGGTTGATAAGAGTGTGTTGGCAGTGTCTGGGAGGCACATGGGAAATAGTTTTGCAAGAGCGGCTGCAGGGGAGGGCAGGCACAGAACTGCCTGGTTTGCAGTGCTAGTATCACCTGGAACGTGTCCACTTGGTGCTCCATAACGTTTCAGAGCTGCTACGTGGCTTCATTCTGGCATGCCGCATTCTCCTTTCGGTCCCTCTTCTCGCTGTCCCACCACTATTTCAATTCTTGTTTTTCAGCTGCGTAGTGCATCATGACATCACACATAAAGTCCTCTTTAGTTCTTCGTGGCCACTTTCTAATTCTGTGCAGCTGTTCGGCTGGCGATAACAAAGAGGGAGGCTGGGCTCCCTAGATCATATCTGTGAAGACAAAATGCAACATTTTACAAAAGCAGTATTGTTTGCAACACAGAGAACACTGATTCAGTGATTTAAAACACAGCCAGTACTCTCACACCTGTCACTAATTGGCTGACCCCAGGCAAGCACACATGAGCCAGAAGACCCCCAAAATGGTGAGTAACCGCAGGAACAGGGGAAATCAGTGTTCCAGGACCGTACTGTACACTGGGCACGTGGCTCTCGGGGAGAGCCAGCACTGTAGGGGGGCAGGGGCTTATAATCATTCCTGTCCCCACATTTTCCACAGGATGTGATCATTATGGAAGATATCTCCTTGCTGAGGGTGAGCAGGGAATCAAGGGATGGTTTTCTGCAAGACTGCGGCTTCCGCCCTGGCCCTTATGCGGCTCACTTGTGTGCAGCAATGGTTCCCCTCTTCCCCAGTGACAGCAGAGTGGTGCAGGAAAGTTACCCTTAATGGGGCAAGAAACAAAGCAGCTCTGCCAAAGAACCTGCGGCAGTGGATTGCCCAGTATCTCCATGAGAGTTTCGTGGAGATCTCCGAGGCAGATCCCCGGTGCAGAGAGCTGTACACCTCTTGTTGGGGTGTTTGGTTTTTTTTAGAGCGCTGCAACTGCACAGTTTCTGGGCACTACGTGGCTTGGCAGTGTGTACACCTTGGGAGTTACAACACAGAAAGCTGCTTTACAGCACAGAAACTTGCCAGTGTAGACAACTCCTGAGTCTGCCGGCTCAGCACCTCCCTGGTGCTGCTCTTCAGACACCCTCCTTCAGGTCACTGATGGAGAGCAGATGTCCAGAGTCCTTCTCACAGCTGCAGTTTCTGTCTGCCCTAAGAAAAGAGACTGGGGGAAGGCTAGTCACAGCCTTGGGCTGGGCTCCCCTGGCTACTTGGCTCCCTAGCAGTCTCCAGCAACCCTTGGGCAAACTTTCCCCCTGCTCTATGGCCAGCTTCACCATTTTAAACTCCTCCTCTCCGGGCAGCACATGTTCTGCAGGTGCACCTAATTGGCACTACCTGAGTGCAGGGATGCTTCTTAGGTTGGCTGTGAGTGGGATGGGGGCATGTCCCATCACATTCTAAAATATAAGCTCTTTATGATGATGATGACTGGGGAAGGGCCATCAGCAAGGTTGGCATTAATTAGGACTGTTGCCTTCACATGTGCCTCCATTATTTAGTGCAGTGATTCTCAACTTTTTCCATACCACAGTCCCCTTTTCCATACCAGGAAACCCCTGGAATCCCTTCCCAGTCTAGCTGAAACTCCCACCTTCTGGTTAGAAATATGGGAAGGGAAGGGAGGTTATAACTCCCAGATTGAGAACCCCTGACATAGTGGTCCCCACTTATAAACATTATCATCCTCTGCGTCCCATCTACCTCCATCAATCTCATTTTTGAGTTTTGTTGACAGTTCTACTTCAAG